ACATTCAGAACATATCTGCATGTTGCTGAGTTATGTCATTAGGTGGAAAATGCAACTGTTAGTCATGTTGAGCACAGTCTGTTAGTGTGACACTTTAAATTGTGAGATGTGGGGTGCCATCTCCTTTCCTTTAGGAGGATGGTCCAATATATTCTATGCTAAAGGAGGACTTCATTCAGTTCTTGCAACCCTTTAATTGTGTTAATCTCCTTTTTGCTAATTTTTCAGGTAGAGCATGTGTACTCTGGCCAGATCCAATATGTGGATGGAGCAGGAGATGCAACTTTCACCACACCCACCATGTAAGTAGTAAAGCATCTGATCTGTCTGTCTGTTTGTTCTATGCTCACACGTTCAGTTACACACACTCTGAAACTCGTCACAGAGCCATTGATATATTTCAGTGTCTGTGTCTTTTCTTGTCCAGTCGACCGAACAATTACCCCTTCTCCGAGTCGCCCCTGTATTCCCAGACACCTCCTACGTCCGCCTCCACCTTTTACGAGGCCACGCCCAGCTCTGAGTCAGACATCACTGGATCTGTGACTTCACAGCCAGTTTCTGTGGCAACAGCAGGAGCCAGCAGCACAGCAGCTGCTGCAGGTGGAGGTGGTTACGTTATTCAAGGAGGTTATGTCTTAGGAGCAGGAGGAACTCCAACAGCAGGTGGAGGAGGAGGAGGACAGAGTTACTCCAGCCCCAACTCTCGTGCCCCACCTGCTACCGTGAGTCGAAAAGTTGAAAGCGAAGCACATCTATGATCCGTGACAGCCTACCACCCAAAGGTTCAAATACTGTGACGTCCTTTTTCCCCAGGTGCAGTGGCTCTGTGATAATTACGAGGGGGCTGAGGGGGTGAGTTTACCTCGCTGCACCCTCTACTACCACTATCTGCTTCACTGCCAGGAGCAGAAACTAGAACCTGTTAATGCTGCATCTTTTGGAAAACTCATCAGGTCTGTCTTCATGGGGCTGCGTACACGGAGATTAGGAACCAGGTACAGAAAAACACGCATACAGACACACATACACGAACTGTGCAAGACCAGTCTCTCAAGGGGTTATCATAACTTTTTCCTGTGTGTTTCAGAGGGAACTCTAAGTACCACTACTATGGTCTGAGGATCAAATCCGGGTCACCTCTGCTCAGACTGATGGATGAACAACAGCACATGGCGATGAGGCAGCAGCCTTTCTCACAGAAAAACAGGTAGCCACCCATGCACTCTAAAACCTGTCCTTGAGCCATTACAGGTACTGAGCTTCTAAATATAGTATGAAATACTAGTAGAGTACATCATTGCTGAAAAATATTCCTCCTGTGGTTTATGATTTCATTCTATGCATGCCATAGACATGACATTTCGTTCTTATCCACAACTGGTCCTCCTGTCGAGTTTTACGTTATTTTGTCAAACACCTTGTGTGAAAAGATCCACTCAAACAAAAATATGTAAAAATGCAACAATAAACTGTCCCGATAACTCTGGCTCTGTTTCTGTGTGAATGGTGTGACAAATAGGGTAAAGCCAGTTCAGAAGTCACAGGGGATCACCAACGGCACAGTAGGCGGGATAGGTCAACAGCAGGGCTCGACACTTTGTGACATTTCGGCCCAGGTGCAACAGTACCAGCAGTTCCTAGGTGAGGAACACCTGCACATTGTTCATCATTGTTTCTTTTTTAGTTTATTGGATAAGCAGTTTAAAAAATGGATGGATATGATTTTATTTCAAATGATACTGAATCAACTCTCCGTGGTTCCTGTTTCCTGTGCATTATCATGTGCAGAGGCATCGAAGCAATTGCCAGACTTTGTGGAAATTGATCTTCAAGATCGAACCCTGCCCGATGGGATCCTTTTAGAGCACCTCAAGGCCTTTCAGACTCTGTACAGAGAACACTGTGAGGTATGCAGCTTAGACAAAAGAAATGACATGGAGACTGAATATAATAGACATGCTTTCCATGTGTGTGTACTTATTTCTCTTGCCATTATTTACTTATTTCTCTTGCCATTTCATTTTGTCATTGAAAAAAACAAGGTTCTTGTAGTTGTTGTAAAGCACAGTAACATCAGCTTCCAAAGAAATGCAAACAGAAACACTGAAGTGAAGTTGTTCTCATTTACAAAGTAGTTTTGGATGATTCACACAGTTCAAAATAATCTTTATTTTATGTTGGACATTGATGCAGCCCCTAAGTTTATCCAGCCCAGTTTCTTCTAATTTTCTATCCTGTGTAAATTAGCATCGGGTTTCACTCGCTGAGCCTATTACTTGAAATTTTTAACATAAATACAAGCATCCAGCAGCGCAGTGTTATACATACAGGTCCCATGAACACCTCTGTGATGCTAAGTGTGATCCTCGCAGGCTATTCTGGATGTGATGGTCAACCTTCAGTTCACTCTCGTTGAGACCTTGTGGAAATCATTCTGGAGGTTTAGCCAGAGCAATGATGCAGAATCGCTCAACCTGTGAGTATTGCAAACACACTCAAATGTGTGCACCCAAGCATCCCCTGCTGAAACTGAAGCTGATCAGCTGTTTCACATGCCCACCCAGACACAACGAGTCTGAGAAGCGACTGCCCAAATCGTGCCTGGTGGTGCTGTGTAAGTTTGAGCCAGTGCTACGCTGGACGAGAGAGTGCGACAACCTGCTGTACCAGACTCTGGTGGAGATCCTCATCCCTGATGTACTGAGACCCATTCCAAGTAAGTTAATAATGTCATGTATAAACGTTTTAATTTTCTGCGAAACCCACCTGAATACGTTTCAGTGCTGTTTTAGTGATGTATACTGTATGTAAGAATTATACATTGCGGCTCATTTAAAATGGAGAGAAGTGTTCCTGTGTTTTTGTATATCCCTGTAAATTGCGTCTTTCCTCTTTGCATCACCGCCATCAGGTGCCTTAACTCAGGCCATCCGTAACTTTGCCAAAAGTCTGGAAAACTGGTTGACAGGTGCCATGATGAACATCCCAGAGGAGATGGTTCGCATAAAGGTATTTGTATTTTTTTTTACATTGAGCTCTGTATCTGTGTTTTAATTTAGAGCTTTTTATTTAATACACGGGTGCATTTCACCTTACCTCACCAAATGTAAGCTGATAAGTGGGATTTGTGATGTATTTTCTGCCTTGGTGGTTTTTAGTGCTGCCATATTGTGATGGAAAAATGTGACTTGTCCTCTTTATGGCTCTTTTAGACAATGGTGCTTTATTTCTCCTCGCTTTTACTTTCAGGTGGTGTGCATTGGCTCTTTCTCCCAGACGCTGCGTCGTTACACCAGTCTGAACCACCTGGCTCAGGCTGCCCGGGCCGTCCTCCAGAACTCAGCTCAGATCAACCAGATGCTCTCTGACCTCAATCGGGTTGATTTCAATAACGTACAGGTCTGCCAGTACTGCCGTCTGTGTCTCCTGTGCTTACCTGCTGCTGTACATCAGTGTTTTTTTTTTAAATAAAACAGCAGATTGCTCACTGTGCTTGCCTGCGTCCCCCTCAGGAACAGGCATCCTGGGTTTGTCAGTGTGAAGACCGTTTGATCCAGAGGCTGGAGCAAGACTTTAAAGCGACTCTGCAGCAGCAGAACTCTCTGGAACAGTGGGCTACCTGGCTGGATAGTGTTGTGTCCCAGGTCCTAAAGCCCTATGAGCACAACCCTATGGCCCTGCCAAAGGCTGCAAAGGTTTTCCTGCTCAACTGGTCTTTCTACAGGTGAGGGGAAATGGGGAAAAATGTGCTCTGTAAAGATGCAGTTTTATGTTAAAGAAACATTTTCTGAATCTTTTCTTCACCAGTTCTATGGTAATCCGGGACTTGACTCTGCGGAGTGCTGCGAGTTTTGGGTCCTTTCATCTGATCCGCTTGCTGTATGATGAGTACATGTACTACCTAATCGAGCACAGAGTGGCTCAGGCTAGAGGAGAAACTCCCATAGCAGTCATGGCAGAAGTATGAATTTTGAATTAAGTTTATAAAATATGTCTATAAATGAGAATCTTCACAAACATTTATAAATGTGCTTTCTTTGCTGTGGACACAGTTTGCCAGTACTGTCAAGAGCCGGACCTCTCAAGATATTGAAAAAGGTAAATGAGTATGGTTTTCCTTAAATACTCTTTTATTAGGATTCCCCATAAGCACCAGCCTCAGCCTTAGCCGTTTTGCTACTTTGTAACCACAGCAGTTGCCCCCTGCTGGCCATTACAAAGAATGCTGAATTAATGCACTTCTGCATTGACTTCACTTTTCAGACACTCGTCCATCTTTTATAAAACTCTTTGCGTTACAGATTTAGAGTTCACACTTTTTTCTTTTTTCTTTTTTTTTAAATGCAAACAGTAACAAGGTCCCCACTGAGGAGAAATTTTTATTACAATATGATGACATCAGCAGTTTTTAGAGGTCTTATTTGTGTTACCCTGACCTTTGACCTTACATACTAAAATGGTATACTTTAGTATGTAATGTTTAGTATATTGTTGTGAAGTTTGAAGATCATCTATAAGAAACTGTGGGTAATATGAAGTTTTTTTTTGTTTTGTTTTTTCTACTGATTTTTAAATTTGGTGATTTGATCCAATTTTAATCACAATAAATTTAACTTGAGGCACTATCACATATAGATGGTGGGGAGGAAGAACTCATGTTTAGGGGGAGAAAAGAAAAAGACGGTGAGACAAGGGTAAAACAAACTATGGGAGAGAAGACAAATGAAATATGTATGCATTAGAGATTCGAACAAAAAACAAAACAAAAGTGCACAGTAGCTGCTGCAACAGGCCAACACTCAGCATGGCACCGTGGTATTTACTTATTGTCTTTCTTGTCTCAGAAGAAGAGGAGGATGATGACGATGAAGATAGTGAGGAGGACACCGGAGATTTGGTGCTGCAGTCCAGCTCTCTGAGCGCGGTTGATGATGAGAAGGAGGTGATGGAGCCGCCAGTCAAACAGCCCAGGATGAACTTAAGTCTGCACACGCTCAATGAGACCGACAGCACACCACCTTAGCTAATCACCTGTACGGTTAGCACAATGCTTGACACATGCCTTTGCTTTAAGTTTCAAATCATGTCATCTCATTCTGTCGCACCATGTGAGCTTCTGGTTTGCATGTTTGGTCGTCTGTGGTGAGAAAGTGGGAGGGCCTTTTGCCAAATATTCTCTGCTGTACTGTTTGTGCTGCAGCCTTTATGTTTACCTTCACTTGATCATTTCACAGTCCCCCCCTCGTTCCCTGTGCCTTCCCTGCCTTTTCAGTGGCTGCTCCTGCCCAGCTTGAATTATATATACGCATATTCTTGATTCCCTCCTATCCCGCCTTAACCACTGACCTGATTGCTGTGGAGAGATTCATTGTCCTCTAAACTCAAATATCACTTTAATTACCTTTAACACAATGACTATGCAGGGGAGCTGGACTTGAATGAATGGTATTGTCTGAAAAATATATTTGTTTAAGAGTAGCATCTAGAATGATACTGCATCATGAATCTTTGTTGGCACATGGACGTTGAGTGAAAGGTATTTGGCTTTATAAATGTGACTCCTTATTCATTTGGCCAACTAACTGATACGCTGTGCCTTTTGAGAGATTTCTAGGCTTAACAAAAAAAGGTTGTGCTCTATATATTCTGTATCGGTGGTTTAATAAATGAAGGTCCTGTGAAGTAGTCGTGGTGTTGTCATGAACTTTTTGTAGCTGTTAAAAGAAAAAAAAAAATTGATCGTCTAGTTTTGTGATGATTCTGCCTGGTTTGTTTTTCTTCATCCATTCGTCATCCATCCTTTCTTTCATCATCAACATCTTTCTTTCACACACAAACATCCAGATGACTCGAGTGCAACCCCCCCCCCCCCCCACCACCACCAAGCTTTTCCCACCTGATCAGCTCCACATATTTTGCAATCTTTGTACCAGCTAGATGTACCAGCTATCTCAAAGTTTTTGTAGTGTAAGAGTAGATGATTATTTTCAGAAAGTGTGTATGCTGGACGTTTGTAGATAACTTATATTATGTACCTTTTTGTGAACACCGTAATATATCTAAAATATTCGTATGTTGTTTAACCATTATTGCCTTAATAAGTATGTCGTGGTATGTCCACCAGCCAGAGTCTTGAGCTATATTTTTATTGTGATGATGGACCAAGCATGTGAGTATGGTGACTAGGGCTGCCACAAACGATTATTTTGATAGTCGACTAGTCACCGATTATTTTTGC